GTCCAGGCAGAAAGCTCAGTCCTTTCAGGCAAGTGGCTCGCCTCCAGGCGCCCTAATGACACTAGGTATTCATGAGCCCAGGATTCCAGAACCCGGCTCCCCCATCATCTGACACCCTAGCCCCCTCAGACCCTGGTTCCAGAAGTGCAGCGTACCCCTCTAGACTCGTTCTAGACTAGGCCTCAGCTCCTTCCCATTCTGAACATAAGACCCACCAGGCAGCAAGGCACTAGTACCGAGAGGCCCCTTACATCCTCTGTACCCAGATAAGGGCCCCCGCAGGCTCTCAGGACCCAGGAATCCAGACCTCCAGCCACCACCCCCAGCCGGGATATAGCTCCCCAGTCCTCAAGGACTTGATGTCTAGGCCTTCAGGGAAGCCAGGCCTTGTCGTCTTTGCACCCCCGCAATGGGAAGCCTGAACTGGGTATGGAGGGAGAAGAGGCTATAGAACGCCCGGGTTAAGGCCTCCTCCCCCACGATTCAGGTTTAACCCTTTCAGGCTCCTGCGCTACTGCACTGGGGCGGGGGCGGAGTCTGTCTCCGTAGCAACAAGCCTCGCGAAACCCGGGGGGGGGGACCTGGGTTGCCATAACAACCAAAGAACTGAGTCGCCCCCGCCCTAAGGGAACTGTTTCCCAGGAAATGGTGTTTCCAAGGGGCGGGTGCTTGGGGGAGGGGATCGAAGCTGGGGGTCTCAATATCTGGGACCAGAGAACCCATACACCAACGTTCCCCGGGCCCTCACTGCCATTTCCGCCTCCACTGCTAGGCTCCAGGATCAGCCCAAGTGGCAGGACTGTGTGGGCTTCCAACCCTTCACCGGGACCTGCGCACAGGCCGCTGGGAACCAGACCCACAGCGCTCACAACGCTGTCTCCGGGACCCGCAGCGCGTGCTGGAGTACTGCAGACAGGTGGGCGGGGCCTACGGGAGGGGCTTGGTCCGCAGAGAGCGGGTCCCAGAAGGGGCGAGGTAGCCTTTGAGAAGCTACACTCTCAAAAGGCAGAGTACAGTGAGAGGAGGGATCTAAGGCGGCAGAGGGAGCTAGGGGACATGTCCAGTGAAGAGGCGAGGGCAGGACCTGTTTTGAGAAATTTAAGTCTGGAGAAGGGAGAGCTGCGCAAATACTTCCTCGAAGGAGGTTGGTCAGCGAACAGACTGGGTTTAGAAATCTGATGGGCTTTGTAGGAGTAAGGGCATAGGTGGGCGTGGCTAGTGGAGAGGCGGGGCTAAGGTTAAGAGACCTATAGGGCAGCAAGTGGAGAGGAGCAGTGGGGTCCAATGAGCAAGCGGATAGCCAGGAGGCGTGGCTATGAGAAGGTGGGTCTAATAAAAAGAGAAGGAATATTTTACCTAGAGGCCAATCCAAAAGGGACGAGATTTGGAGAGGAGGATAAGACCTAAGGAGAGCGGAACTTGATTCTGGAGAAGGGGCGACCAGAGAAATGGGTTTACAGAGAGATGAAAGGACCTACAAGAAGCAATTAGGCAGGAAAAGAAACGGCACTTAGGGAGAGCGGGAGGGAGGCCCACGAGCACGAGAGACAAGATATCTCAGATGGGTTCTATGGAGAAGCAGGGTCTAGGGAGATGTCCTTATTAATGCTAGCGTCTTGAGCCAGGTGCGGCGTCCCATGCCTGCAATCCCAGCGCTCTGGAAGGCTGAGGAAGAAGGATCACAAGTTTGAGGCCAAACTGGCAATTTAGCAACTTAGCAAGACCCTGTCTCAAAATTTAAAAAGTAAAAGTAAATATTTAAATAAAAGAAGAGCTGGGTTTGATCCTCAGTATAAGGGTGGAGGACAGAGCCTTGAAAAGGGACATGGCCATTTAGAGGGGCGGCTGGCAGGGACGGGGCAGTGGATTGATTGTTACTCCTTGGTGCCCCCAGATGTATCCGGAGCTGCATATTACGCGTGTGGAGCAGGCGGCACCCGCAATCCCCATGGAGCACTGGTGTGGGGGAACCCGGAGTGGCCGCTGTGCCCACCTCCACCACCAGGTTGTGCCCTTCCGCTGCTTGCGTGAGTCACAGGCTGGGAGAGGGGAATGGAGGTGGGCGTCTCTGAGAGACATTTCTGAGCCCTGTCTCCGGCCGTATTAGGGGGCTGGGTGCTCGGGCTCAAAGTAGAGCAGTGAAGCCTCTGAGGATAAGATTCTGGATTCTGACGAGCATGGAGCCGGTGGCTGTGGGAGAGACTCATCCTAGTGTCCCCCATTCCTCAGCCGGTGAATTTGTGAGCGAAGCCCTACTGGTGCCAGAAGGCTGCAGGTTCTTGCACCAAGAACGCATGGACCAGTGCGAGAGTTTAACCCGGAGGCATGAGGAGGCACAGGAGGTCAGATCCCTGGCCCATCTATGCCTGCCCCACTAGAGCCCAAGAGTCCAAGGCCCTAAAACCCTCCTTCACCAGAACCTAAGAGTCTTGTTACAGCCCCCTGTTCCCACCCGGATCTGGTAATTCCACCCTCTAACCCTTTCCTCCAGAACGAGGAATCCAGGCTCTCAGTCTTATCAGCCCCCAAGACCCAGGTATCCAGGCTTCCCTCCTACTCTACAGTCCTGGCATCTGGGCCCACTCTTCCCACAGGCCTGCAGCTCCCAGGGCCTCATCCTACATGGCTCAGGCATGCTTTTGCCCTGTGGAGAGGATCGGTTCCGAGGTGTGGAATATGTATGCTGTCCCCCTCCGGTGACCTCCAACCCACCTGGGACAGCAGTTGGGTGAGTGGCCATCCTAATGCTCCTAGGGCTGAGGATGGAAACCTGGGGACTTACGCTCAGGATCTGACCGCCTGCATCTTCTCCTGCTCTTTCAGTGACCCATCCACAAGATCTTGGCCCCCGGGGGGAAGAGCAGAGGGAGGTGAGGATGAGGAAG